TTTAAAAATGAGCTTTAAAATTTCAAAATGTATGGAATTCGGTTGGTATATTGTTTTTATTATTGATTTCTAATTTTACTGTATTTGTTCAGAGAATTTGGTCAAAATAGCATAAATTCACAGGCATTTGTTGGCCTTGTTCTAAGATTTGGTATAGGATCACTTTTTATAAATGTTTCACATGTGCTTCTAAAGAATACATATTTTCTCCTTGTAAGGTACAGGGTTCTTTACGTACACAGATAAAGACTGTTAACTGTCTTTTATATCCTTTTTAGTTTTTTCACCTGTTTGATGTGTTAAATATTTTATTTTAACATTTTATTCTTCCTTTTTCTCCCCAAAGCCCCCTGGTACATAGTTGTGTATTTTCCGTTCTGAGTCCTTCTAGTTCTGGCTTGTGGGACACCGCCTCAGCATGGCTTGATGAGCGGTGCCATGTCTGTGCCCAGGATCCGAACTGGTGAAACCCTGGGCCGTCGAAGCAGAGCACAGGAACTGAGCCATGGGGCCAGCCCCCTGATTTGCTAAATTTTTCAATATGATTGTGAACTTATGAATTTTTTTTTTTAAGCTATGTTCTTAGGTCCATAGAGCTTCAATTATGTTATATCTTTTAGGTAGATTATTCCTTTTGTAAATATACAATGAATATTTTTATATCTAATATTGCTTTTTTGCTTTGAAGCCTATTTTGTCCAATAATCATAGAGTTCTACTGGCTTTCTTTTGGGTAGTGTCTGCCCAGCATATCTTTTTAAAACAATTTTACTTTCTGTCATTCTGTAACATTTTGCTTTAGGGGTTTCTTAAAAATAGCATTTTCATTCATTCAACAAATATTAGGTGTCTGACATTCTTCTAGGTGCCGCAATAAATGAACAAAGTCCCTGCCCTCACAGAGCTTACATTTTAAAGAATATTGGCTGAACTTAGCCTATAGCTGGATTTTGCATTTTTCCATCTGTCTTCAATAAAATTTAACCTTATTACATTTAATGTTATTGATATATTTAGATATATTTCTAACTATTTTTGGTAACTTACATTTATTTATCCCACCACCTCCCATTCCTGACTTCTAGCAAATGGATCAACAAATTTTTTATTCATCCTTTCCCTTCATTATTTTGAAGTTTTGCATTCTATTTCTATCACTTTACTGCTTACCTGTAATATTTATTGTGTATGGTTGATAAGTCCAAAGTTATCAGATCTCTATTCTCCTTCCTCTACAATATGAAGATTTCAAATAATATTCTAACTGGTCCCACTTACCGTTTATTGTTTCTGTCACTCTGTTTCTAATCTCTCACCAAATTTGTCAGTGTTGTTAAATAATGTATTATGTTCAATGCTTATTTAGATTTGCCCACATATTCATTCCCCCCCACCTCCAGCATTGTTTCTGGCATCTCATCTAATTTCTTTCTTACTGAACTAGTTAATTTTTAATGAGTGAGCCTAAGTGATAAACTCTTTCAGTGTTTGTTTGAAAATATTTTATCCATACTTTTGGGTGCAGAATTTTAAATTTGCAGTTATTATTCCTCATCACTTTGAAGATAATTGTTATCCCACTCTCTTATGCCTTTTTTATTGATTCTTGAATCTATTTACAACTTCTTGTACATTTGTAGGCAATCTATCTGTTCACTCTGGTTGCTTGTAACACATCTTTCTCTTTGATGTTCTGCAGTTTCACTAAAATATTTATATGTGTAACTACTGATCGTTTTCAAGATTTGTAGTGCTTCATCAGTCTGAAGACTCATGATTTTCATCAATTCTGGAAATATGTTTTTATCCATTCTAATATTGCCTCTTCTGAATTTTCTCTGTGATTTTCCTCAAAACTTCTATCAGATGAATGTTGTACCTTTTCAGTCTATCTTCCATGTCTCTTAATCCCTCTTTCCTATTTTCTATCCTGTTTTATCTCTCTGTGCTATATTCTGGGTAATATCTATGGCATTTCCTTCCAAATCATTAATTCTCTTTTCAGATGTCTACTAGTTTGTCCATTAAGTTTGTAATTGAATGATTAGATTTTTTTGTTTCAATGTATATTGATTATTTGGCAAATCTACATATACTTTTTTAATAGCCTATTTTTTTCCCTACGTGCTAAGCACTGTTCTAAGAGTCTTAGGTAACTTAATTAAATTAATCCTCATAGCAACAATATGAAGTAGGTACAGTTATCATCCCAATTTTATAGACAAAGAAACTGGAGTTCAGAGAGACTAAATAACATGGTAAGTTAACATGATAAATAAGTCACAGACGTGGAACTCTAATACAAACAGTCTAGCTTCAGAGCCTGTACTCTTTTTTACAGCTAAAAAAAATTATATTTTTTTATTGAGAATTTCCAAACATACACAAAAGAAGAAAACAGAAACGACCCCTATATATCCATGTTCATCTTCAAAAACCATCATTATATTCCTCTACTTGTTTCCTTTATCCTCTCTTCTCTTTATTTGCTAGAGTATTTCTTCTTTTAAAAAAAATTTTATATTTGAGAAAATTGTAGAATCACATGCAGTTGTAAGAAATAATACAAAAATAGCCCAAACAATCTTGTAACAGGAAAACAATGTTGGGGGACTCATACTTCTTGATTTCAAAAGTTACTACAAAGCTTACAGTAATAAGACAGCATGATATAGGCATAAGGATAGAAAACTAGATTAATGGAACAGAACTGAGAGTCTAGAAATGAACTTTAACTTTATATGGTCAATCAGTTTTGGACAAGGGTACCAAGACAATTCAACAGAGAAAAAATACTGTTTTTAACAAATGGACACACACAAGAGAAAAAATAACATATAAAAGAATGAACTCAAAATGGATCATAAACCTAAATGCAATAGCAAAAACTATAAACTCCTTAAAAAAAGGAGAGGAAATATTCCTGACCCTGAGTTAGGCAATGATTTCTGAACTATGACATCAAACAGTACAAGAGGCAAAAGAAAAAGCCAAATAAATTAGACTACATCAAAATTAAATAAATTTATGCTGCAAACTATACCATCAAGAAGTTGAAAAGATAACCCACAGAATGGGAGAAAATATTTACAAATCATATATCTGATAAAGCACTTGTATCCAGAATGCTTACAACTCAACAAGAAAAAAAACCCCAATTAAAAAATGAGTAAAGGATTTGAACCAACATTTCTCCAAAGAAGATATACAAACAACCAAGAAGCATATGAAAAGATGTTCGACATTATTAGCCATTAGGAAAATGCAAATAAAAAAACCCGTTATCAGAAACCACATCACATCCACAAAGATGACTATAATAAAAAAGAAATGATGATAACAAGTATTGGTGAGAATGTGGAAGAATGCTTATACAATGCTAGTGGGATTGTAAAATGGTACAGCTCTTCCGGAAAACAGTGTGGCAGTTCCTCAAAAAGTTAAACACAGAGTTACTGTACGACCTAGCAATTCCACTCCCAGGTATATATCCAAGATAACTGAAAACAGACTTCAACATGAAAAATTGTACACAAATTTTCATAGCAGCATTACTTATTATAGCAAAAAAGGAGAAATAACCCATTTATCCAACAACTTATAAATGGATAAATAAAATGTGATTTATCCATAATGGAATATTATTCAGCCATAAAAAGGAATGAAGTACTGATACATACCACAAACAGAGATTTAACTTGAAAATATTAAGCTAAGTAAAATAAGCCATGTAAAGGGCACATGTCATATGATTCCACTCATATGAAATGCCCAGAATAGGCAATCTAGAGACAGAAAGTAGATTAGTGATTGCTAGGCCTGGGGGAAAGGAAGAATAGCTAAATATGAACAAGTTGAGTACTAAAATAAATAACGCTTTCAATTTATTAAAACATATTGAATACACTAATGCTACAATGGCAATCATACTGCAATATAAATGTATCATATTAAAATGTTGTACACCTTAAACTTACATAATACTGTGTGTCAAATATATCTCAACTAAAAGAAAAGTACTGTATATATAAAAAGCTATGAGACTGAATGATAATAAAGAAAAACAGATACGAAACAAATTTTAGGAGTTTGTGGTGATGTTTATAATTCCTTGTATTTACTGAAAAACATGGAACTGTATACTTTAAATGGGTGAGTTATATGGCAAATGAATTATATTTTTAAAAGGTACTTAAAATAAGTAAATAATAAAACTAATGTGCAATCGTGAATAATGCTTTTGTTCTGAAAAATGATAGGAGAAAAGAAAACAAAAGGAATTTGTCATCACTGAAGTTTGTTAGGGCATCAACTCATTAAACACACACACACACACTCATATTTTCTTGGCCTTCTTATGAATGGAATTTCAGGGTAACAAAATAGCTCTAATAGATGAGGAAAAGTTAAATATAAAATAACTCACATTAATAAATGTGGAGGGAATAATCATCCTGCAGGCTTTTTATATGGTATTAGGGTTTCTGTGTCCTTTTGTCACGACCTCTATTACTCTTGCCTTCTAGCAAAGGTTTGCTAAGTTCATCTCGGACATTTCTTGCCCCAGATCTGGAATCAGCCATTTTTCCAGAGCTGATTCAATTCAGTGGGTGAAGCACAACGTGGATGCTTGGTGTTCACTGCTGCTCATTGCTTCTAGGTCATTTCAGTAAGAGCCAGGAAACACTTTTTTTTTTTAAAGAGGGAGAAATTTATAAATTAACAGTAATATTTTCAATATAGATTTAAGATTCTAGATGTTAATCTTGAAAAATTAGTTTTTACCAAACTTCTTGATTGTATATTTTACATTTTTTCCTCTTATGCTGAAAAATCTTGGTTCCTAACAATAACATAACTACCTGCTATTTGTTTTACCTATAAATATAATTCTTTGAAAGCACCAAGACCAATACAGTTACTATCAATATGCCATCAGGATGAACTTTAAAATTTCTTTGCTTTTTTTTTTCTTGTCATTGGAGTACATACTAGTAAGGATGTACAGAGAAAAATCTCTGTTATATAAGGTTAGTTGAAATAACTCTTCACTCAATGTGGCCATGTCAACAACCTAATACATAATTAGATTCATTTATTTGTTTGTTTTCAAATTTCAAGAACTGCTCTTCCGGGTCACCTGACGCGACTATGTGCTGAAGAAACTCAAGGGAAGTCACTGTCGACTGCCACCACCAGGAGCAGCTGGGACCGCCCCCCCAGCCCAGCCTCCCATGCCCTGCGGTTGGACAAGACCTTCAAGCAGTGCCGCACCTTCGTACAAAGAGTAGACGTCCAACTTATCCAAGAGCAGCATCCTACCAAAATCCCGGTGATAACAGAATGCTACAAGGGTGAGAAGCAGCTTCCCGTCCTGGATAAAACCAAATTCCTTGTATCTGATCACGTCAACAGGAGTGAGCTCATCAAGATAAGCAGAAGATGCTTACAGTTCAACACTAATCAAGCCTTCTTCCTGTTAGTGAATGGACACAGCACAGTGAGCATGTCCACACCTATTTCTGAAGTGTATGAAAGTGAGCAGGATGAAGATGGATCCCTGTATATGCTATGTGCCTCTCAGGAGACATCTGGGATGAAATTGTCAGTGTAAGACTAGAAAAATGTGTCTGTTCTAGAATTTTTTAAACCCTTACCAAGGAAAAACAAAGGGATGTTACCAACTTAGATTAATCCGTTCCTCTAATCACAGATCATCAAAACAGTAGTGTTCCTGCCTAGGAGTTTTAGGAAGTTGTTTTTGCACTTAAAGCAGAAAAACTGAGCTGCAGATGAACACATTCAGCTTTGGAAAACTATTATTATTTAACCTAGGCTGTCTTGTTTTCAAATTTAGAAGTTCAAAAATAAAATACTTTGCATTCTGAGTTGCCAATAGAGAGATGAAATAATCCATGTTCTGATAGCCTCTTATTTCCTGAGACTAAGCCGACTCCATCCCCTCCCTCTTCCCCTCCTAAGTTACTTTTGTTACATCTTATTCCCTCCTGTGTTGTGAGTTTGTGGTTAAAATGACAAGATTATATTTATTTTTGGTGTTTTCCTTCCCTTTATCTTTAATGCTATATCTGAGTGTTTGCTAACCTGTTCTGATGGATAGTTAGAATTTTCTGCTTTTGCATACCTATTTATCTCCTTGCTCAGGGCTATGTAACCCCTTTCTTTTTTTTTTTTTTTCAGGTATGAGGGCCTTCTTGATCATTTCTGGTGGGAGGAGTCTGTGGTGATGAACTCCCTTAGCTTTTGTTTATCTGAGAAAGTTTTTATTTCTCCATCATACCTGAAGGATATTTTCACTGGATAGAGTATTCTTGGCTGAAAATTTTTGTCTTTCAGAGATTTAAATATATCATTCCATTCTCTCCCAGCCTGTAAGGTTTCTGCTGAGAAATCTGCTGAAAGGCTGATAAGGGTTCCTTTGTAAGTTATCTTCTTCTGCCTTGCTGCCCTTAGTATTTTTTCTTTGTCATGGACTTTTGCCAGCTTCACTACTATATGCCTTGCAGAAAGTCTTTTTACACTGATATGGTTAGGAGAGCTATTGGTGTCTTTCACTTGCAATTCCAGCTTCTTCTTGAGATTTGGTAAGTTCTCCGCTATTATTTCTTTGAATAAGCTTTCTGCTCCATTCTCCTTCTCTTCTCTCTCTGGAATATCTATAATCCTTATGTTGCATTTCATAATTGAGTCAGATATTTCTTAGAGGATTTCTTCATTTCTCTTTAGTCTTAGTTCTCTCTCCTCCTCCATCTGAAGCGTATCTGTATTTCTGTCCTCAATATTGCTGATTCGTTCCTCCATAATATCAGCTCTTTTGCTCAGGGAGTCCATATTCTTCTTTATCTCATCCATTGTGTTTTTCATGTCCAATATTTCTGATTGGTTCTTCTTTATAGTCAATCTCTTTTGTTAAGTAGCTCTTGAATTCATTGAACTGTCTATCTGCATTTTCTTGTAACTTGTTGACTTTTTTTATGATAGCCATTTTGAATTCTCCATCATTTAGATTATAGATTTCTCTGCCTTCAGGATTGATTCCTGGGTACTTGTCAATTTGCTTCTAGTCTGGAGATTTAATATATTTTTTCATACTGCTAGATGGCATGGATTTGTGCTTCCACGTTGTGGTAGTATTTGATTGCTGCTTCCACCTGCTACCACCAGGTGGAGGTCAAGAGCTGTGTATTCTGAGCCCACTGAGATCCATGGCTTGCTGCTTCCCAGACACCTCTTTTCTGGTCCTGCTGAATTGGGGCGCCGGGTTCGGGGGAGGGTCACTTTTGCGTGATCTTGGGGGCTTCCTGCTATCTGTTCTCCTAGGGTGTTAGTTGATGAAGACATCCCTGTGATAGGTAGTGACCTCTTTGCGGGGCTTTCCCAGAGGATGTGAGGGACCTTGGAGAGTGATGGCATTCCCATGGAAAGCTAGCTCCTTCCCCCTTTCCTCTTGGAGCCATATGTGGTCCTGGGTTGCTGCTCTTTGGGAAGAAAAGAAGATTTCTCCTACCTTGTTCCACTTCCTCAGGGGGTCCAGCACCTCCACCTTCAGACGTTTGGTATGGCTGCGTGGGTCTCTCAGATGTCTTTTGTGTTGTATGGGTGTCCTCTGTTGGAATATGAATGTCCTTTTCGTTGTATCTTAAAGGGGAGCATTTATGGGGAGCACTCACACTGCCATGATGCTGACACCACTCTCCTGATTTTATTTTTGATTGTGTAAAACATTCATATGCTTCTAGAGCCAAAATTATAACTAGGTACATCCAGAGAAGCCTGGCTTCTATCCCTGTCTCTTCTACCATGTTTCCTCCTTTTGTACGAAATTTTGGGGGGTAAAATTTTGATTTATCCTTATATTTATTCAATTATAAGCAAACATACTCTCTTACAAAAATTTATGCATTACTTACATAAAAATTAGAATATTAAATATACTATTCTGCATCTTGGTTTTTCATTTAACAATATATTCTAGAAATCACTCCATATCAATAGAGATCTTTCTCATTCCTTTCTACAGCTGCAAAGTACTCCAGTCTTTTGGATATACTATAATTGATTCAACCAATATCCCAATGTTGGACATCTGGGTTACTTCTAATCTATTGCTATTACGACACTGTTGCAAAACTACAATAGCAAATATGGAATTACCTTGTAGATATGTTATTCTGTATTTCTGAAGATGTATCTTTGGGATGGATTCCTAGAAGTGAAGCTTCTGGGTCAAAAAGTCAAAGCATAGATAAATAATTTTATTTGATATTGCCAAATTCCCTCTATAGGAGGTGTACATTTTGCATTCCCACCAGGACAGTATTAAGAGTGCTGCATCTACACAGCCTTGTCAACTGAGCATGTTGTTAAACTCTGGATTTTGGCCAAATGGCACCTCAATTTGCCTTCACCTTATTATTAGTAAGGCTGAGCATCTTTTCATATGTTTAAAGACCATCGATATTTCTTCCATATGATCTTCTATTCACACCTTCTGACATCTTCCCCCGTGTTAAATTGCTATTTTCTTCTCAATGTTCAGGAATGCTTTTTATTAGGGATATTAGCTCTTTGTGATGTAAGTTGCAATTTCTTATCTGTAGTCTGACATTTGTCTTGATTTTCAGAGCCCGTACTCTTAACTACTACACTATACTGCATCCACTGTTCTTTTCTTATGATTCTTATACTTTATCTCTTTAGTTATCTTAAAATCTTTAAAAAATATTGCTCCTCTATGATCTCAAGTCTTCAGAGAGGTACTCTTCCTGTTTGTTACCTCTTCTTCATGGTGGACTCATTGTGAGCTCATCTTAAAGGGTACCTATTTTTTTCCGTGAGATTATTGAGAAGTTTGTGTTGTTGAAAAATCCCACCAATGATACTGTGATTGTTTCTGCTAGGTTCTGAAGGGGCATATAAGTCTGGGATAAATTTTATACTAATATTTCAGGTAGGAACTTCACACACCACAAGGTAGCATAAATTTGTACTATGAATCTGCAGGAGGTATAGGTTTCAGTTTTGACATCTTATAGGAGATTGTGGGTTCCTTCCCACAGTCATGGCAGAGAAGAGTTTCTTTGTCATTTACCAGAGGTAAAAGTTTGACTGAATTAGTCTTGCTTTCCCACGTATTATTTCCCTTCTAAGACTCCTCTCATTGTCTTATCCTATACCAGAGGTTCAGTTCCAACTCCTCACCTCATGTAATCCTAATGTCTCACCTCCTTTCCCTGTACAAGCATTAAAACCAAAGTTCCTGGTCATAACTGGGTCATAACTAGTCATAACTCCCCAGGGCTCCTGCAGCATTAGTTCACACACCTCACCTCTGCCTTTATCTCCCTCTTTGATTCTGACACATGGAGATTTTCCCTTCTTTCAATGAGTTCAATCGTACATCACAAATTTTGAGAAATGGTTAAAGCTTATCCAGCATTTTTAGGCTTAAAACAAAGGTGTTTCAGTGCTATCTGAAACCTTTGTCAGATTCTAATAATCTGTTTATATATCTTTTCCTCCAAAAGATTGTGAGTTTATGAGGGCTGGGACAAAGACTCATTCATCTTTGTAGTAATACAGTTCCTAACAAAATTTCCAGTATACATAAGATCCTTAATATATGTCTATTGAATTCAAGAATCTATTTTCCATGGTTGGTACAAAGTGAAAATAGGTTAGTAGTTCTCACTTTTCCTACCATTTAGGACTATATTTTATTATTTTTCCAGCAGTAAGCTTCATATTTTGAGAGCTTCTTCTATCAAGTTTAACTTACCTTTATTAAATAATGTACCTTTCCATTTGTATTAATTAAAAATAGATACACTTAGTAAGCAATTTCTCATGACTGTGAAAAATCCAGCATTACCACAATGAGTTATGTCAGCCAAAAGGAAAGAAAAAAGACATTTTCACTAACTAGCAGAGTTTTATTCCAAATAAAAATATAGTTGCTGTTACTTATACTAGTTTCAAAAAGAACCCCAAAATCCAGGGACTCTGATTTATAAGCATTTATAAAGCTTTTTTCTTTGATTTCCTCATATACAAATGGACTTATGTATGAAAAGGAGAACTTTTGATTATAGATATTCATATAGTTATTTTAGAGCTCAGTAGGTTTTTCTTTTTTAAAAGCCTTCATGTAATTTTCCTCTCTTAAGAGTATTCTTAGATACATCACCACTGATGGCATTAAGCTCATAGGATATCTGTTCTTTCAATACAGACTTTATTTCCTACCCAAACTCTACTTTTTTCTTCTCTTGGTAGAAAGCAAAGAAAAAAACAAATGCACACCAAATTGTCTGTCTGCTAGTTTGCAGGGTCTCTTCCATCTCATTATGATCATTCCTAAATTCTTAGAATGGCTAGGTGGGATTCCTTGCTTCTATAAGACAGAGACACAGAACATAGCCGGGGGGATTTTCAAGCATAGTTAAAAGGTTTCCCTGAGTTGAAGAGATTCCTTCTCAGGCGCCAGCAAGAATATATTAATCTCAATGGTTAATCCTGATTATCATGTATATCTAACACTTTCTTCTATGCCATGCAGACTTTGATTTTGAACTCTGGAGGATAGCAGCCTACACTTTCTCTCTTCAAACAAACATTAACATGAGGATAAACATACATTCAGCATTTTTAAGTTAAAAAACACTTTTTATAAGAATTTCTATTATATTCCTTATTTTTCCGAGCTGTCCTGTTTTCTGGCAAGGTGATGGTGTGTGACTGCAGTACAATGGGGTGAAAAGGTCAGAGTCAGATCCACAAAGCCCTTCCTAAAATTACATCACAGGGATGAGATATGACCCAAACCAATGTCTGAAATCAAATTTTCAAAAACAAAGTGTGACTGAGACTTTATTGAG